TTTGGAATTAAAAAGTTTTTTTAAAAAACGGTTTTTCCTTTAAAAAACCATAATTCCTTAAACTTTTTTGTCATCTGATAAGGTTTGGTACTTTTTTGCGTTTTTTGTTTGCTTGGTAGATTTTATTTCGGTGAAATTGCAGAGATAATGCATTAATCTATGAAACTGTGACTCACCTAAACAGTTTACTACTACACTATAGTACTATCACATTTTATTTAATTCACTAGTTTTTTTTTTAACATTATATAGTTTATATCGGTAGAAATATAGATTTATTTGCGCAGTGAAATGAACACGTCTTCTCACCTTGAATGTCTTGACTATTGACTGTTACATTTCTTATTGTTAACAAAATTTAAGTTCACACGTACGTACACAAACAATTTAAAAATGTGAAGGGAAGGTAGAGTTAAATTGTTCAATGTTTAAAATACTTCCATCAATATTCTCAATACAATGTGCACATTTAAGACAAAGAACACCATTGTGACATTACCCCAAAGACAAGCGCCACAACGTAACCCAGAATCGACTTGTGAATAATATAAAGCTAGCAATCGCGAGTTTTCAACATTTCTCAATTTAGGGAAATTTACTTTAACGAGTTTAATTTAGAGAATAAAGTTTTCCAGTTAAGATTTTCATCTGATAAGAGTCTGACGGTTCTGTAGCTGTTCCTCATTAATAAATTATTAACCGATAAATATATATCATTTACTTTTCTTTGTACGTTATCTAACTTAAGAATTTCGGTTTAGGTTAGAAACAAAAACTACAACGATTTTTCTAAAAAAAATTTAAGTCAAGAAAATATAATTATAAAAAAGTTACTAATTGATATTAATTGAGTTTTCTTAATTAAATTGTTTATTTACTTAAAATTTATTATCCTTTTAATTTGTATGCATTATTTATGAACCAGTTGCAATACATAACCTTGGTACTGACCTCTTCGATTTATATCTATGTTGCGTATAGTAAATAATTTTTATTAGGTAGATAAGCAATGTGTTTATAACCATAAAAATTTTTTTATTGATTTTCCGATGAATAAATTTTGTAAGTGGTACTTACCATGATAAAAAAATAAAGTTTGCGTATATGAACAATCGAAGGAATTTATAAATTTGGGGGAAAATATAGAACAAAATAGAGATGAAATAGAGTTACTTTATTTTAAAAGTAACATAGGGGATAAAACGATAAAATTCTTAATAGATACAGGGTCAGAGGGGTTAATAATAAATGAAAAGATAATAGAAGTAGAAAAAGATATAAAGATACTAATAACTGTTTTGGTAGGTGCAATATAGGAATTAAGAACCAACTTTTAATATTACCAAATTGGGATAGACATGTTATGTTATTTATATCACTTTATTTATTCGATCATGTAATAAAAATGTATTTACTTATTTTTTCTTGGTTATTCCCAGACAATAAAATATAATATGTAATGTGAAATAATTTTAAATCAGGATTTTCTACTATACCAATTAAAAAGTTACATGTTTCACATCATACAGAATGTTGAAGACTCATTCTGTTTTATTTGCGGTGAATTTCTTTAAGTAAGAAGCAAACATTTTGATTCGGCTACAAATTTGAAGCTTTGCGAAGCTTATAAAGCTTATTTTAAGCTCAAAATTCGAGAACAAGATAAAAAATGGGTACCACAGTTTGTCTGTGTTAATTGCAAAAATATTTTATAAGGTAAAAAACTAAAATTTCAGATAGGAAAATATAAGGCCGAGTCGCAACCAATCATAGAGCCTAAGAATATATTGATGCCACTGTTATATATAAAATTGGGCATAATGAAGCAATTTGTAAAAGCTCAGGATCAAAATTCTGAAGATTTTGAATATATAAAGGGAATTTTTCCCAAATCATCTAAATCTAAAGTAAAAGCGGGTATTCCTCAATTCCTCAATGCTCATGAAAAACAACCTGAACGAGTTTTAAAGCAGTAGTTAATGGATTTTTTGGTATCAACAGAGCTGATAATTATAAAAACTCGATTGGAATTACGCTTAATTTTTTTTTTAAATTATGTGCTGCAGAATGTCCCATAAAATAATATTTTAAATTTTTGGATATTTAAAAAAAAAATAGAAATTTAAAAATTTTATAGTTTCAAAATACAGGATGTCTGTAAAACGTCTTTACAAAAACATACCACATATTCCTTAGACCAAAATAAGTCGATTTAAGTAAAATTACCTTAGTACAAAGTTGCTTTGTTTGGGCTCCAGAGGGCCTTGAAGTTACAATTTTTAAATCGTTTTTCCCATATAAATTAAAAACGGCATATGCGATTTTGCTGAAATTTGGTATATTGGTAGAGTTTTATGTGGCAAAAAAATTGTATTAAAATTTTGTCCGATAATAATACATAGGCGTAGAACTTGATTTTTTAAATAATTGCACCTTTAAAAATTCTACGCCAATGGAAGGAAATGAGTACCTAGCCACCCAACTTTTGCTGCTGTTGAGAGACGTCTTCGGGAGACCGGTTCCTTCGCTCCCAACACTGTTGATAATGGAAGAGAACGTTTTGTAAGGATTCCTGAAGTTGAAGAAGACATTTTAGAACGTGTTGAAGAAGATCCAGAATTAAGCACCAGACGAATTGGAAGGGAACTAGGAGTAAGTAAAGATGTCGTTCATAAAGTGCTTAGAGAACAATTATCCATACCATAAGAAAGCCAGTACAAGAAATATTAGTCCATGATCCTCAAATTCGTTTGGGTTTTTGTCGATTTGTTAATATGCAAAGAGAAAGAGATCCAAACTTTGTCAAGAAGGTTCTCTTTACCGATAAAGCGGGTTATACAAGAAGAGGTATAACTAATACCCATAATGAACATGTTTATGCCGTTAAAAATCCGCATGCAATAAAGGTAAACCATTTTCAGCACGAATTCAAAATTAATGTGTGAGCTGGAATAATTGGTAATTTCATTGTTGGTCCTGTCATACTTCCACGAAGATTAACTGGAGAAAATTATTTGGATTTTCTACAAAATACGTTGCCAGAATTGTTAGAAGATTTACCTCTCCAACTTCGGAATGTGGTTTATGCAAGATGGAGCTCCACCACATTTTTCTTTAAACGTTAGAAACCACTTGAATGAACAATATCCACACAAATGGATAGGCAGAGGTAATGACGCACCTGTAAACTGGCCACCACGTTCCCCAGACCTAACACCGATGGATTACTTTTTATGGGGACATCTAAAATCCACAGTTTACAGGGAACCTGTAAAAAATGAGGAACAACTCTGGCAACGTATTCAAGATGCAATAAACAATCTTAGAGGTGATGAAGAAGTTATGGAAAGGATACATTTTAATTTTCTTCGACGTATAAATCTTTGTATGCGTGAAAATGGTGAACATTTTGAACAATTTTTGTAAAATCTCTATTTTGATTATGTTGTAAATAAATATTTTTGTGAAACCTATACACTCTAAACTATTAAAACAGAAATTTAGCGAAAACCATGAGAGTAATCGAGTCTTATCAAGAGTACCTCTTTTTAAAGTAAATGAGTTGCGAAATCTAAATTTCATACTCAAACTCCTTTTCTTCCATTGGCGTAGATTTTTTAAAGGTGCAATTTTTTAAAAAATTAAGTTCTACGCCTATGTATTATTATCGGACAAAATTTTAATACCATTTTTTTTACCACATAAATCTCTTCCAATATACCAAATTTCAGCAAAATCGCATATGCCGTTTTAAATTTATATGGGAAAAACGATTTAAAAATTGTAACTTCAAGGCCCTGTGGAGCCCAAACGAAGCAACTTTGTACTAAGGTAATTTTATTTAAATCGACTTATTTTGGTCTAAGGAATATGTGGTATGTTTTTGTAAAGACCTTTTACAGACACCCTGTATATTAAAATAAAGAGTATCCACTTTTGAGTGCGAATATGTCAAAAAGTGAGTCAATTTAATTTTTTGGGCAGTAGACTAAAATTTAGTACGCTTTTGGCAAAGCTTATCTAACTTATTTTTTGCTGATATGTGTATTTTATTACACCAATAACGTTTGCCGAATTTAGTAAAATTAAACTGAGTAATAAAAAAATTGTAGCTATTCATAATTTTTGATTTCCAACTTTAACACCCTGTATTTCGAAAACGAGTAATGTTTTTTCTACATATGTTTCGTTTAATTGGCTTATTTTTAATCAATTAATCTTCAGTTGCTCTATGTCCCATTCTTAATGAAATACCCTGTATATACCGAAATAACAAAAAAAATGTCATAAAAAAGTGTTTTTATTACCTTATTGACCCACAATAATTTACTTAAATCTGCATCAGTAAAAATTAATTAATTAATAACATCGTATACTACTGATAAAATTTGATATTAGATGGTTAAAATTTAAGGTACTAGATCAACTTTTTATGAAGAATATTTTCTTCCCTAAAAGTAATAATAAAGGTTTTTGATAGAGAGAATAATGGAGTTTCAAATCAGAAAACATTTAACTAAATTTAATTTATTGCCCACTAAACAGTCCGGCTTTCGCAAGGGACATAGTTGCGCGACTGCTCTTGCTTAATAGCTTACTGTTTTCATTCTAATAATAATAATAATAATTAATTAGATGTAATTGATAGAAATTTAAAATCATTTAATCATATTATGTTTCAAAAGTCTATAATAAAATTTAAATATCAAAAATGACTGTCTTTTTATTTTGCATATTTTGTCTATTGTTAATGCATAAATGCATACATATTTAGACCATGTTTTCCAAGCCCTACTTATAACCCTTTCTTGCAATTGACAGTTCTATATAAATAACTATAATAATTAAAAAGAATAAAGGGTTGCTTTATAACAATACTCAATGATTGAATAATATTGATAATGGCTGTAATCCCAAATTAATTTTGATATAAAAAAATACTCCGCTTGTTATTAAAGTGTTTGAAAAGACGGTAAAAATAAAATAAGTTTGTGACTTACCTTGTACAGATTGCCATTGAATTTGTCACCTGACTTCACAACCTTCTGCAACGGCGTCTGTTCTTGGCAATGGCAACCGATAGTGATTCCCAAAACCAATAAAAATGTATTTATTAACATATTTGCTCACTTGTTTAACTGAAACGTGTTATAGCAGTCTTTAGTTCTTGTTAAAGTATACAATGAACTTAACTTACACTTATATTTATATATAAATGAAATTATATAATGACATAAGCGTATCAAGAAGTTTTGCTTCAAATATATTTATATTTTGTGTAAAATTATTAGGATTTAAAAATTAATTGTTTTATTTATTTACAGTATCCTACAGGGCTTCTTCCATTTGCAGAATAAGGTGTTGATAAATAATATAAATATTCAAACATTCAGAGACTGTACTAAAAGAAAAAAAGGATGCACCCATCTGACTCAATTTTAAATAATATGAATTAACAAACTAATATAAACTAAAACAGTTTTTAATATCTGAAAATAATTTGAGATCATCGGCATATAAAAGGTGTACTACTTCAAGATCATATACAATATCATTAATAAAAAATACAAATAACAATGGTCCTAAAACGGAGCCTTTAGGAACGCCGGAAGTTTGAATGTACTTCAAGGATTTATATCCGAAACATTGAACATAGAGATAGCGATTACACAAATAGGACTGAAAGAGATTTAATAAAGAATTATTAACATCTAATGCAAATAGCTTGCATAGTAAAATCGTGTGGTCGATTTTAACAAATGCTTTGGAGAAGTCTGTGTAGACAACATCTACTTGACTTCTCCTATCAATAACTTCAGATATAAAGTGAGTTATACAAAATAAGTTTGTCACTGTAGAACGACCATGTTGAGATGGAGGTATAATTTCACAGTCTTGAAACGAAAGATAATTATGTACTATTATTTCAAACACTTTTGAAAAGTTATTTAAGATTGTAACGGGACGATAATTTGATGTCATTTTTATTGCCATTTTTAAAAACAGGACATATTCTGGCCAACCCAGATATCTGGAAAGTCCGAAGTTTTAAACATATGATTAAAAATAACAGTTAATGGCTTACAAAATATCATAGCACAGTAAGCGGGAACATTGTCAGGACCTGTTGTTAACTTAGGTTTCAGCTTCTTTAACACAGTAAGAACTTCAAATTCCATCACTAAATATTATTAGGATTTATATCTGTCATTCAACAAACTTTTTCATTATTAATTCCAATGAAAAAAAGGTATTCAAAACAAATAAGTTTTTACAAAATATAAACTAAATGTACCATTTGGGAACGCAAGACCAATGTAAGACGACAATGACAGGCAGCAGGGCAGCTTGACGCCTGTCTCGGTCTTGGTCTCCGTTCCCAAATGGTACCTTAGGCTGCGTTAAGTCAACGGTCAAGTTGACTGATATGGTCAGACCGCTCGCTAGGCGATGTAGTCGAAACTGTCTAGTCCTAATTTGTAAAATTCATAACCGAAAATTACAAGACTAGGCAGTCCCTCCTGTCTCCTGTATTTTGTGAGTCCCTCGACACATCGACAGTTGCGGTAAACTCAAGACGAAGGCATTTAAAAAAATAATATGAACAACAGAAAGAGAAATAAAGTTATTATGGCCATTTGTCTGTTAGCTTTTCAAACTGATGATGAAATTTCATTAATAAATATAATAATTCTTTTGAAAGTGTAAATTCCAGCATCATCATTTTGTGTAGAAAATATTTTTGTAAGTGTTGATTTTCCGCCTATTTTAGAGTAACTGGTGACTAATCCCATTATAATATTACATAATATTTGGTTTTTTCCGTTTCATGTTTTAAATTGGTTTTTAACAACATTAGTTTATCCATAACTATTAATTTCTTGTATGTTTAAATTAAATAAAAACATGAATTGACAATTGGCCATTCACTAGACAGTTTTGACCAAACAAGTCAAACTCAATTTCTCGACTGTTCTGACTGACTCTGACCGATCAGCTGATTAGTCATGACTGGTCATGTTGGTCGGTTTTCTCTTTCGCTAGACAGTTTCGACCGGTCCAACCGCTCACTTAACGCACCCTTAAGAATCCATAGATTGGCAACAAAAAGAAATAAAAAAGTCACTTAGTTTATTTTAGCTTTTCACATACAGATCATAATATTCAATGTATGTGTCACTACCTTCAATGGAAGATTCAGGTACCGTGTCTTCAACAATATTGGATACAGGTAAATTGTGATATTACTGGTGAATTGGATACAGATAGATTGAGATAATAATGGTGAATTAGACAAATAGAAATTGTGATAATAATGGCGAAATTCATCAGGTGTAGCACCTGATTTGCAAGTTTTAGTAAATCTTTCCTTTTACACTTTTTTGTATTTTCAGAGCTATTTTTTCACCCTTTTGCTCTCTATTGGTTTTTGAAGGTTAGATGCATCGCGAAAAGAAAGGGCGATGTAATTACCTTGACCATTTCGGAACAATCGAGAAAGACCAGAGACGGCTCTAGGTAAAATAAAAGAAATGGCTTGGGCAAAATGTTAAAGTTCAACAAATTTAGAAATCAGAGACATAAAGATAGGAAATACAATAACCGCTGCAACGATTGCATCATCTACGCGTCTCAGCTCTATGCTTATCGTAGAATCCTGAATTTGAATTAATATTTAAAATTTTGATCTTTTGATTGGTTTATATTGTAATGTAAATCAAGCGAAGTGGTTGTGGTTGTTTCTATGTGGATCCGGGGCCCGTATTGCATTAGTAACACAGACATGCCATTTAAATAAATTTAACAACCTCAATGTGGCTTTCTTTAGTTACCCAAAGAAATATCTAGCCATGTAAGTAACACAAACAGTAGTCTTTTTTGGCACAACTTTTTTATTTATTGTTTTGGAGCAAAAAAATGGATTCAAAAAGTTGGGAGAGAACTTGTCCAAGAATAGTTCTGAAAAATGGATGCAGTCCCTGTCAAGGTGCCATCAGTAATATTAGTAACGTTAATAGCGACATTCCATCCCTTTATATTCTTAGAAAGTTTAAAGCTTATGTGTAATAACATTTATTAAAATGAGACCATTGGGCCAACTTTTGTGGCTTGAATATTTTACCGTTTTCTCATTCTGTTGCTGGCGATTTAAAGATGCAAGTGAATCAACTGATGCATGTCATCCATTATTCTTCGTAGCTGGATCACATAATCTTCTCTATGTCGGCATATAAACTCGAGGCCGCACGGTACTCTCATGTCACTCCCAAACAGGAGTTTTGCTAGTGTTTAGCCTCTTGATTCATTAACAGTGGATCTGTATGCCATTACGAAGGTTGAAAACAATTTTTGACAGTGATTTGCCAATGGTATTATTCACTCGCTCTACCATTTCATCCAACGTTGAGTGCAGTGAGTTCTGGTTTTCTTCATACCTAATCTGTTACAGATTCTTCGAATAAGCTGGGTTTTAAAATTTCTACCTTGGTTACTGTGGATTTCCAAGGGCAGTCCAAAACTGACAAATTCTCTTATTAAAATGTCTGCAATAGTTGCGGCCTCTTGATTTGGAATGGCGTAGACTTCCACTTACTTATTCACCATCATATATTTATTAACATTGATCATGTGGAATAGTCCAGCAATATCTAAGACAGTGGTCGCCAACCTCTCAATGTGTTGAGCTACTTTGTTAATTTTGGAATAAACAGCGAGCTACCCACACGGAAGCCACGTAACGCAACATAAATGAAATAATCCACAGTTAATTTATCATTATATGTATTTATTATACTATTTAACTGGTAATACATAATACATAGGTACTAATAATAAACTAATGACAAAATAACTAATATTACTAGTACGTACTTGTTCATAGCTACATTCCTACCTACCAAACGAAAGTGTTCGAAAAATAAACACAAACTTTTATCCAGTCACAACGTCATGTCACGTAAGATTTATAAATAGTTAATAATAACAACAAAAAAGTAACGCACTATCATGAACATAAACATTGAAAAATAAAAAAGCACGTTCAATGAGAAGGCTGTCACTCAGACTCATCGATAATTTTTTTAATGTTTGCAGTATAATTTGATGCAGCCATTCGAATACAATTATCCAAATTTTCATCTGTAAGTCGATTGCGATATTTGTTCTCAATAAACTTCATATTGGAAAAAGAAGATTCACACAAATAGGTTGAACTGAATAATGCTTTCACTTTCAAGGCAACACGGCATAGAACTGATTATTTGTCTTTACTTACAATAGGCCAGATACATTTGGTACTTGAGACTAACGATTTTAAGGCTAAATCATTTTGAAACTCAATTACTTCCATTTCTGTTGCAGCGATGTCTTCGCCAAAGTTCTGCACAACACAAGATGCAAAACTGTTGGATATCAATTTCCATAAAGGGTGAAACAACAAACTGCGCTACTAAAGCCATTTCGTTGAAATCCTTAAAACTATTTTTGAAGTTATTCTTCAGGGTAGAAACTATTTCTACATGATATTTGCTGTCATAGGGTTCTACTTAACCATCGGACTTCAGAGTGAAGGAGTAGGTCCCCGTATTGACAGTCAATTTCATCGGCCAAGGTTTTGAAAAATCTTCTTTGTAACGCTTGAGCTCTAATCTTGTTCACAATTTTTACCACCAGTTTCATAACGTTGTTTAGTTTCAGGAAATTTCCACATAATGCTTGCTGTTGGATAATGCAGTGGTAACAGAGCAATTGCGGAAAAGTTTCATCTTTACGACATAACGCCACCAGACCCTTATCAGAACCCACCATGGCTGGAGCGCCATCGGTTGTCAAGCATACCATTTTCGATATTGGAATTTTCTCGGAAGAAATAATATTTTTTAAATGAGAAAACAACTCCTGTCCAGTAGTTTGTCCTTTCAGTGGAATAAACTTCAAAAGATCTTCTTCAATCGTAAAATCACTAAAAACCATCCTGACGAACACGGTCATCTGGGCAGTGTCAACGACATCTGTTGATTCATCCAGTTGAAGTGAAAAATAAACACAGTTATCTAAGTCAGTTCTTAACTGTAAAAAAATATCATTGCTCATTACTTCTACACGTCTCATCACTGTATTAGCAGAAAGTTGCATAGATTTTATAGCTGAAACTATCTCGTCTTTATTTCTAAAGTTGGCAAATAACGAATCAGCAGCTTCTAAAAACGCCTGTTTTATCATTTCCCCG